CCCCCTACTACTCCTCTGAAAAACACAGGTGACGGTGAAACGCAGTTGACAAAGTGGGGGGAAGAGAACTTCACTTCGGATCAGGATAGTCGAGATTTGATTCAAAGAGCAACCCGGCCAACAAGAAGTGCATATCGCGATGCAAGCGCATGAGATGCAATGAAAGAAGAACAGCAAATAATTACTAAAACCATGTCACCTACTAAAATATGACGACGTGCCGGATTCGACTGTCAGTCCAAGTAACCGTTACTGTCTTACTCCAAACAAGGACTGAGCGGGCCGCGGGTTGTAATATTTGGAGCAATACTGAAAATATCCATTATGCTTTGTTGTACTATATCCCGCAGTGTTAGTGTGAAAATGCACCCATACGGGTGGATAAAGCTTACTGTAACTTGGCTTGACTTGGTAAGGGGTTATCATTTCCCTTACTTAGGTTGACTCTCCCAACATGGTCCTATTTCTACTTTCGAATGTATACCGCTAAGGTGAAGCATACAGGTGTACGTTATATCAGCTAGGCTAGCGATCGATAGACAAGCGGCCTCACTTGCACACATAGGCATTCTCTTGAAAACTCATGATAATCCGTTGTTGCAAAAAATGAATCGTTTCGGTTAATAAAATTGAGTCGTATAAAACGAAGCCTGAGTACACAGCACATTTGTTTGTTGCAGCGGCCTATTCATTATTGACGGGAAAGGCATACTCCGACAAATCACCATCAATGATCGTTCAGTGGGACGATCTGTGGACGAAGCGATTCGCTTGCTGGACGCATATCAGTTCGTTGAGAAGTACGGGGAAGTTTGTCCAGCCAATTGGAAAGCAGGCAAGAAGACAATCAAGCCGAATCCCAAAGCCAGTGAAGAATACTTTAAATCCGTAGAGTGAGGTGGAAACGTGCAACATGACATGTCCTGACACAAAGCATGGAGTGTTAATTGCACCCTTGACAAAGAATAAACGAGTTTGTGTTGAAGAGTCTTCATTTACTACCTTGTCAGTGAAACAAAATGTCGGAGCTAAAAATCCTTCTTCTTAAATTTAGTTTCCTTTGTTCGAAACCTTTAGGCCTTAATCTGCAAGACGCCGCACTTAACTTTTTGATTCATGAAAATAGAATACGTATCGGCTAAATGTCTCCCCTCTGTTGGAGCTGACGCGTGCTATGGTTAGAATGCTAATCCAATATCATACAGCGGTTTTTGGTAAGTTACCCAACACTTCTAATCTCGTCGGGCTAAATAGTAATTCCTTTGCGAGGAATATGTTTGGACGGGAAATAGGGTCACGGAACCACAAGATCCATACTTGCAGAGCGTGTTGAAGCGTCCAGAACGAGGGAGCGATCGCAAGTTACAACGCGTTCACCCGTTAGGCGCGCGTGGGTGGCGGGCCAAAACCCCAAACGGACATCCCATGGGTCATCATTATCATCATTATACACATCAGCTAGAGGTGGGAAAAACACCTCCGCTATTGTGCCGCATCACATGGGTTAGGGGGCACTGATCTTTAGTGCAAGTGCGCGGACACGATTCGTCCTGAGTTAGAGGAGATCATTGGTTGTTTCTTCACTAAAAGGACTGCACGAGGGATTGAAGCGTTCAATGGGATCAAGTGGAGGACGGGCTCGTGGATGGGACAGCCGAATCTGCAAGCTGCGACCTTGCAAAACAAGTGTAATGGCACATAAAAAGGTGTGGACTAACTTCCCACTGGGCCACGAGTCACGCAGTGAGAGCGGTCTTGGAGTAATGTCAATTTCGATTGTACAACAGTTGCGAGTATTGCGAACTCATGATTCTTCCTTCCAGCGGTGAGCAAATGTTGTACTCCGTGCATATGGTAGGGAAAAATATGATACACGCTGCTTATTCATGATGGTTCGTTGATGTTGGCGAAGTGTGCTAGAAGTCACGGTTCTGAGTCGGAGAGTAACCACGCTACATTCATCGATGAGTTGCGTCAGCGTTTTGAAATCGCACATGCAAGGTCCCTACCTTAACAATCGATGTGATAACGGAACAGGGTTGCAATTAGGATTGGGCGCAGCAATGCAGGATCGCTGGGTAAGCCAAACAAAAATGAGACCACTGCTTCATGCTAAATGCAATGGCTCCGACTTGGAATGTGACTAAATTTGAGCCTAGTCGTCGGAAACTCAACCACGCAAGTGGTGTCCACCGTTATGCTTTTGCCATTGGTTTCACGCAGGGAACAGGGGCGTCTACCGCAATGAAGCGGCCACAAAACCACTGAAGTGACAGTCCGGTTCCTTAGCAAATATTCCACAAGAGCACAGGCATTGTTACAGACTTGGGAAGCTTATGCTCATTGGAGAGATGGAAAGTGAGTTTACCAAACGCGTGCTTTGTGAGCGACTGACATCCAAGTTATCCAGGATACATGGGGGTGAAATCCTCCTCGAAGACAAAACCACTCATATGCAATTTGCCGGAAGGATGCACTTGTCTAAAACGACTGGAGATACTGATAGCTAGGGCTGATTGCTTATCGCTGAGCTTGAAAACTGGGATGCAAACGTTCTTTCACGGAAACGAGGTCATCTCGTCAGTGTGAAGTATGAGTACGGTGCAGTGTAAATGCATGCCATTATACATGTTTCGGGTGTTGGTAACTGTAAATCATCCAGATTAGTCGTTCAAGTAAGTTCCATGGTAGAAATGAGTGGCTGCAGTTGCACGTAACGGCTAACCAAATTAGTTGGTGCGACATGTGCACATGGTAACCGAGACGAGTTCATTCGGGCTGTCCCGTTTAATATCTTGACAGTGGCTCTCTTAGCGGCACTCGATGACGTCGGACTCGCTTGAATTTCGCGTGTCAGTGTTATAAAATGTTTCGTGGAGAACCCCATTTTCGAGGAATGTCATACCACCCCAAGTTTCTACGTGCGTAACATAATTTTTATGTACTAGTCCAATCGAATATGTCCTTCCTAGTCAACCGTAAGGTTACGTGGTCTTAATAACTCAACTGTTCACTTCATTTACGTGCTTCACATACAATCAGATGAGCAGTTTCGTTGTCGTCTGTGCACGTTAGCAGGCATCTCGGCACGAAACTTCGACGAGTTAACGGCTGAGTAAAAATGATCCCCCAGCATGCACAAGCGAAAATAAAACAGGTCTTTATACCGTATACGTAAGACACTAGGTACTTAAACGATAGTACCTGAAGTAGCTCATGAACTAGCATTGTGAGAAGAAATTTTACTAAGGAAGAAAGTAAAAGCAGGATCCAACAAACGACACAAGGTACAAAGCTAGCGTTGCGACAAGAACTACACCGGTGAAATAAAAGCAAAACTGTCCGTGAAAACACAGAAGTTACAGTCACAGGGCATCCGAGTGAAGAATGACGTCGTGTGGATGAACTAACAGAGAAATTCTGATAAAGTGAGAAAGAACAAGAAGGAAATTCCTCGAGGCACAAGTTGGCATGCAGAATTCCATTAGCGTGCGCAGCAGTATTGGTCCTATGGAATAAGCATTCGCACAACCGGAAACCAAGCCAACTTAAAACCGTCGATTACAACCAAGCGGACCGATGACATGACAAAATTTGGTGCAACCCAAGTGAGTCCGCCCCGCTGATCATGCGCATCTCGCACCAACGGGATTGCAGCCAGCCTTCTCAAGTAGCAACATAAGTTATACAACCAATTGCGTACGCAGTTCCATCAATGAACTCGAACAAATCGACGCCATCAGTCAATAACGTACGGGATACGGCTCAAAGCCAGAACTCAAAGAACTTCACCCATCGTCACGTTCTGATTGTGTCATCTCCCTTTAGTGATGAAACGTCTGCATCTCAAATGCTACGCCTGGTGACCTCATGAGTAACTGAGATGCATTTGTGCTGGTTGCTAACATAGCGCGTGGTGGCGACCAGCAAGTAGTTCAGAAAAGAGGATTAGTAACACAAGTGAAGATTAGTACCCGATCAGAAACCGCGAGTGACCTCACTTGTCCGTTTAGGTAATAGGTTGTAGATCCACAGTGAAAGGAGCCGTCATCGGTTCCGAAGTAAGACTGAAAGGGAGATAGGAATCCAAGTTGTCCACTGAAATGATGCAAAGGAGAAACATGCGAATTTTATTCCACAACAAGACGCGAAGCACATAGCGCAACGTTTTCCGCAGTTACATTAGAAGAGGTGTAAATATGAAGGGCGGTAGCGGGAAAGTTCAGCTCCTCTCTCAAGTAGCACAAACGACTCCAGTCAATGAGAATCTTGGCCAATCGGCCGAGATTGATTTGCTCGGATACAGTGAACCTGAAAGTAAAATGGAATGAAATACTGGAAAAAGTTCATAACCGACACAGATATAAATGAGGCTAAGCAGAACGGAGAGGTTGTAAACACCCAACCCAATTAACCAAAAACTAGTTCAAAATACTCAAATAGGCGGTGAATAATAAGAGATCGTTTGGAAGAGAATAAAACAGCTACGTATGTGACCAGAAAGTGGTAGGGAGGTTAAACTCAGCATAAAGATCAAAACCCGGGGTGTTAGGTAAACTGACAACTCGAAGCCGGCGGGATGGTGATGGATCCAGTTTACTTGCCACATCAGTGCATCGAGGTGATTTCCAAGTAGTGATTACGGTAAAACAAATGAGGCACACTTGTGTTGCGGACGGAAAAGTAAAAATGTAATAACATGGTGATATTCTACCTATTATAAGCTAGCACTGTCTGTTGCAAGATAAATGCAAGACAGTAAGTGATGTGACCGCCGCAATACGAACCGGTGACGTCCTACTTAGAGGTGACAACCTGAAAAAGCAAGGGTGTATATACTGTGACCAAGAGCACTACACATTTGATAGCGTGGAGTGGCTCCGAGTGACAATGGGTTCTTGGGTATAGGAGATGCCACAATGTTGATAAAGCATGCAGGAGAAATCACTCTCAACTACGCTCTCTACATACACTCGACTACAAATACTGATTTGCTCACACGTCAAAAGACGACGATTCAGCTTCGTCTCTATGTTGGATCAGTTCAGCCGCATCAGTAAAACAGTCCCGTTGGTGATGCGATGAGTCTGGCATCGCTTGTTCCTTGGGCAATCGACGCTGGAAACCACATGTGGCCCAACTGGTCAATCGTGTGGCAATAGCGAACTCTCTGGCATTCAGACCGGCGTCACGCTCCAACCACCGGCGTCCAACGCACTCTTCCCACGTGCACTGATGATGACAACACAAAGCGAATAGGACACCGGCAAGGCTGAAAGAGAGAAACAGAGTAGATGACTGTGATGCGCAGGCAACCAGAAGGCAAGTGGATATCAAAAGGCACATCAAAAAAGTGCAGTAGACGATGTTTAGCAACTCTGGGACGGAGATTCACCTATACTTGGAAGACGCCAACAACACGGAAACTTAAAACTAGTAACGGCTTCAAATCAATAGGAGACTCATCATCCATTCTGTGACCTAAATAAGATGCAAAAGACAAGTAATTCCAGAACTGGTTTCGTGGGCAAAGTCGGTGAAGCGAGTGGAATTCAAATAATTAACTCATCATGCTCGCGAAAGAAATGGGATCAAAATAAATAAACTGATTCCACTCATATATTGCCACAGTGAACCGATATTTGTCTACAAGTGGAACAACCCACGTGGTCAAGCACAGAATAAGGCAATCGATTTCAAGGGAGCAAATGAAGCCATGCAACAGTTCTATGATGAAAGTGTACACGAAAATTGCGTGCAGCAAGAAGTGGACAGGAAAAATTGCATCCTCAAAAAATGGCGCACACGGAAAATGACCAGTTCGATCGCTTTGCACATAAACGACTGTTCTACGTGCCAAAGCCCCCATGACACATTCAGTACACTCAACAGACTGAACTGTGCTCGCCTACCGCAGTTTGCCGAAGCCTCAGCGATTTATTGTCGTTAACGCATTTGGTGTGTCCAGACAGAGCTCATGGCTAAACTGGCCTTGGCTTGATGAGGTTGGTGATTGCGTCAAATCACCGATAGCCATGTTCTCACAATGGTACTGCATATGGAAGGATGTCCACATAGTAAATTTCCCACCCAGAAAATCGCTTGGACGGAAAACTTTTAGCAGTCTGTAGATGTACCCGGTTTGTTTCAGTACGATGTGCGCAATTGTAGTCAAACTTACTTCTCCTGTTGCACACTTAGACGATCGATAAGTAAGGTGGACTGTCAGTTCACGACATTTTAGTAAACCGAAAAACACGCCCACGGTGTGCGTCATTTTTTGAGGGTGCAATTTTCCGCATTCGTCTTTTGCTGTACACGTAATTTTCGTGTACGCTTTTTTCCACTCACCCCACCCATCACGCGGATGCAAGTGCAATTGAAAGGTGAAGAAAAGCTTACTCCAAAGAATGTGGGTTTGCAGTATACGCGTTTCGCAGACAGCGGAGTGCCAAATCTAAAACGATCGAAAAAAAGGGAACCATAAAAGTCAGTGCGTGAACACTGAAGAGATATAGTATGCTAAATGGGCATTCGCAGACATAATGAAAGTGGCATATCAAGCGCAATGCTAGGGTCCAATTCGTGTTATTAATATTCTGTAGTAGTTGAATTGTATGTGATTGTGCAACGGATTTAGATTCACAAGGAAACATATTCTAACCAGATGTTGGGCCACCTAAATTAAACTGGCAACCCACGCGTTGTGTGATAGGATGGTTCACATCAAAATGAGCCAGTGGAAAGGAGTTTCAAGGAAACTGAACTGCTAATGAACTCCCTTTAATCGTGCGCGAGTCCTCGGCATTTCAATAGATGTAGGAATACGGAGCAAGCATATTGTAGCCTGTAAGAACGTAAACGACTATACGGATTGGATCATGGGAAAATGAAGGTAGATAAACTCTACTATGTTTAACCAGTAGGCAACACAAATGCTCGTGTTTCGTATGGGACACCATGAAATTACACTCAAACAATCCGAGAAAGATAGCGAAAGTAAAAGGGAGAAGAATGCGAAAGTGAGCAGCACACCTGAGGAAGAGGTTAAAAGGCGCAGCTAGCCCCAAAATTGGTCTGACGTGTTACAATAAGTATGCATTGCTATGACTCCGATTCATCCGGGAACATACAATGTGGCGAAGGCTGACGCGAACAGACGCTCATCTAGTGACCAATGCCCTCGTCTTCGAGAAGGATGTACGTCCGAATCGGACACAGAACTCTTGTCCACAACATCATTACTGAATGGAAGTAGAAGACATCAACCAGCGATCGCACATACCCGACCGAGGTCTCATCTTCAACCTAACAGAGACAGCAGCATTGGAAATACTTTGCGTCCGTTGCGACTAATCAAACAGGTGTTGCGTTATACTAGATTAAATTAGTCAAATATCCGTTGAAGTCGAACGACCAGAGAAAGAGATGTGTGTTCTAATGCATCCGACTAAGTTCTTAATCTTTTCGGATCGGTCGATAACCCATGAACTGTCTAGGTGCAAACGCTTCCTAGATGCTATGGTAGCGCGCGAAAAAGCAGTCGAAAGATTGCACAGGTAGTGCGCGGAAGCAACCGAGTGATAGAGCTGAGCGATGATGCTCCGGTGAAGGCTACAATGTGGGCAAGAACAGGGATGTCACGTAAGCTGATAAATTAGAAGCAACACTCTGTAGGACTAGTATCTTTGAGGCCCCCTTATGAACGTGGCTAATGACAGTGAGCAAGTGAATTTGTTATCGAAAAATGAGGAAAAAAGGCGGACGGGAATCCAGAGTGAATTCAGTCGAGGTATTTCATGGAAATGTTTTTCTATATGACAGTGACCTGGCATCTTCCTCCTCTCTACTGTTAGGGTCATCAACAGCGAAGTTGTCCAACACAGAACCTATCCTTTCGGATTCGAAGACATACGAAACCCGAATGAGTGCAAGCACTAGCACACACACAGAGGGTTGGTTGTAACTAGGCAGGGGACGTTATTGTAGACTGGGAGATTCTGTGACTCGTTGAATCATGCAACTTCAGCCGTCAGACTCTGGTAATCTGGATATGTTTCACACAGGTCAGTGCATCGGTTCCCAAGTAGCATGATGATGTTATTTTCGACTCGTGTGGCGAGGCCGCAAGTGGATATGATCAAAAAGGGCGGAAACTATCAGTGGGTAGCTAGCATAAAAAAGTGCCTTGACTTCTTAACGGAGATAGACCGTGAGTCAGCGCAGTGATTGTCTATAGGACGCAGAGGCGATATCGTTTCTCAATCAGTAGCGCTTCATCAGAAGACACAAGGTTAAACTATGCGAATAAGCCCCTCCGGAAAGTTATTTTTAAGCTATGTTTTTATTCAGTCACACAACACTTAATAGATATTTTGGAGCAAGTTCTTCCCACTCCTCAAGTGGAACTATTATGACAGTATAACAACACAACAGAGGCGTTTTGGTTCGGCCTAGTATGCAGTGCTATCCCAATTGTTAGCTGCCAAACTGTGCTACTGAAGAAGTGTAAAAGACTACGAGAAGCAGTCGAGCAACTGGTGTGCGCCAGGGTTACACCTATGAGAAAAAACGGACCTGCACTTGCATGTGAAAATAACACCCCAAATTCCACATTCAGACCGAAGAAGAGAGCCAGGCGTCCCAACATTACCCCGACGACTCAGTCTCAATCAGTACCAACTCCGTTCTCTCTCTCCCATAAGTACAAACATTGTCTGCAGCGTGCCTGCTTCAACTTCTGTACAAAGTGTTCTCCCTAATAGTTTGTTCACTATACAGAAGACCCTAAGCTGCAATCAAGCAGCCATAGTGAGGAACCAGGTAACATTCGCATCGGCTGCCGCCAAGCAAACACCAGAAATAGTACCGGTAACTTAGGTGGCCGGAATAGAGAAGACTAAAGTGTCGCAGCACGGATGGCGTCCATCAGTGTCGTTTACAAATTCACCAAAAGCACCGTAAACTAAGGCTCCAAAACCAGTAGGAACCAGGCGCAACCATTGTGGTTTAAACCTTGTGTGCACTAAGATCCCCCAATCGAAATCCAATACAATTAAAGGTAAGCTGACAGACAATCGAAATCAATGGAGTTCCATCTGTACGGCAATCGGTGTCCATGCTGACCCCACGAATTTAAAACGCATCTCACGTCACCCAAACACACTGCACTACGGTGAACCCAGGTTACCTCAGGCAACACTGAACTCGGTGGATGAGACAGAGGTCGTTCTGCTGTCTGCGAATCGACCTCGTAACGCCTCAAGTGGAGTGCGCATACTACCTGAACTCCCGTGGGAAGAACGTGTAGCGGATCCAACTAACAGAGAGAGAAATAGAAAAAGTACAGAAAACTGTGATTGTTCACGGTGATCCTGAGCTTACCGATTCCTCTTCCGACGATGCGTAGGTATACGATCGGGAGCAATGGCACTACATCCGTGAGGCTCTTTCTTTCGAAAATGTCGTGGCCACCTCGTTGACAAGGATCCCCTTATCACCGAACTACAAGGGGTGCGGTCCCAGGCTGTTGAAACTGGTGTTGCAATCAGAACTAACGGCACAAACTCTTCTAGAGAAATGGACTAAATTCCGTAGCAGGTTGCCAACAGAAATCCGTCTGAAGGCAGCATGAACAACAACACCTTCTAATATCCGCGTATGGATGGGCGTCCTCGCGGTATACTCAGCCCACGCGCGACTGGTGGTGGTCGCGAGGCAGCGAAGCGCCGTTACGGCGTACAGTTGACACTTTATTATTATTAACACCTAATGACAATTCAGCGGAGGTGCAACTCTCAATGAAAACACCAACTGTAGGACCTGACTCGGTGACCGTTTCAGCAGTAGCTATAGCATCCGGAGGGACACAGCAGAGCACGAGCGAACACCGGGATCCGAGGCATTTGATACTTGAAAATATCCCAAATTCGTCTCGAGAGTCTGCAACTCATCCAAAAAACGATTAGCCGCGGCTTAAACGCATATTTTTCATCAATTCCACCCAACATACTTTTGGTCTCCGAGAAGCTCTCATGCATGTACACAAATGCACAAGGTCTACTCAGCAAATTAGCTGCTTTCCGACTTCGACACGCGTCAGCAGCTTGGGACCTCATCGCTGTCACCGTAAAGTGGTTGCGCTGTAACGGATGCAGAAATCGCGCTAACAGGTATGTCTGTTGTCCGGAGTAATCGAGCCAACAAAGGTGGCAGGGTAGCCCTCTACTTTCGTAACTATCTGCAGTGCGAACTCATATACGATTCGGAAACCGATGTACCTGACTCCATTTGGTGTAGTTTCCGGCTGAGAGGGAACGATCTTGGCCTATTGATTGTTGTTTACCGCCCACCATCGTCTACACCTGAGATGGACTACAACTTGGTGACTGCATTGAGGCAGGTGATAAACAGGAAGTACAGTTACTTTATAGTCGCCGGTGATTTCAATTTACATGCTCTAGAATCTTAGGCCACACCAGGAGAGCAATTCAAAGCAGATTTGCAAGATCTTCAGATCAGATTTTCGGCTTTATGGCCACGTCACTTCGCCCACCAGGTTCAGGGGAAATAACAGGACATCCATATTGGACCGAATATTCACTAATGAAGAACTGATGATTGAGAGTGATAATCGATACTGCTCTAGGCCACAGTGATCACGTGACTTTGCATTTCATGTACACTTGCTATGCTGAATGTCCTGAGGACCGAAATGAAACAAAGCGAACCATAACCAGTTAGGACACCTTAACCCGACTCGCTGAAGCGATCGACTGCAGTTACCTAACCGAGGACGCACCCGATATTGGCTGGGAACGTTTCGTCAGTAAGTTTAACACCCTAGTTAGTGGAGCATCAGAAAGCAAGATTATCAGTTCGAGAAATATGACGTTGTTTATACGGTGTAGGACCCGCAAACGCATGGTGGTGCGCAACGCGGCGTGGTATGCACACAAAACCGATCCGAGTCCGAGTACCTGGATGGCAGATGTTGTCCACCGTGACCAACGTACGAAATTAGTGCGCGAGGACAAAGTAGCTTATCAACATGCTTTAGCCGAGCGAGTAACTGCAAATCTTAAGCTTCTGTACAAGTAGGTGAACAGCCTCCTCTTCAAACAGCGGATGTTCTAACTCGGACTGCTAGAGAAGCGTCGAATGTGATGCAACAACAATATGCACCAACGTTTCATTGCATCGCTTGGTCTCCTGAATCTTTGGTATCTATGGTGTCCACATCAGGACTAACTCCTATAAAATTTTACGGTAGACATCGTGATGAGAAAGCTGCTATCCATGCGCCTGCAGGCCTGTCCAGGAATTGACAACGTTCGCCCAGAGACGCTTGCTGTGCCGACTACTATTTTGGCTGAACCTTTGGCGCGGCTGTTCCAGCACTGCCTTGACGAGAAGCACGTTCCTGCAATGTGGAAACACAGAATACTAACTCCCATTTACAAAGGGTGTAGTCGTTCCGACCCAG